CGCACCCTTCAGCTGTTTTGTGACACCCCCTTCGCGGCTCAATGCAGCTTCTCCATACAGCTTGCGCATGTGGGGATTCTCCACCAAGCTCAAGAACGCCCAATGCGCAGCATGGCTAAGAATGGCAATTGATAAGGCCAGCTTTGATCCGGAGATGAGGCTCAGGCCAAAGAATGCAGCCTGACCGACGCTGCGCTCGGGAGAATTGAGGAAGCGGAAGATGCCTACCGAGTGCAATTGATGGGGGAATTCGTCGATGAAGAAATCACCGTACAACCAGCCGAATGGACCTAAAACGTTGTAGCTGTCGTGGGCAGCCCATACGTGTAGCGCGATGAGGAGTACGCCGAGGACGTGGCGTAGCAAATCTGTGCCAACGTGCCAGTCAGAGCCGAGCGGCACATAGCATTTCCAGCAGAGGATGCCATACGAGATGTAGGTCATGACCAGACTAGTGTTGTAGATGATCTGTGGCGCGTTGAATGAGTTTAGCGGCGGTTCGTATACAGGCTCGCCCTAGTCCAGCGGCACCCACCTTCCAAGAATCAAACGTCTCGTATACTGCATCTGCGCTACTGTTGAACGAGTAATGCTTCAGAAAATGGCGAACCATCCACTTTGACTGACTCTGCTTGCTAAGTATAAGACCAAGTCCCCCAGAGTGGAAGGCACGCCAAGCCAGTGCATTCACGTAAGCGAGGGCAAGCGTCGTGTTAGGGCCGAGTCTACTCGTCGGCAGCAGGAATGGCACGAGTGCGTAGAAGGATGCCACGATGAGCTGAAAGTCTGAACCTCTCAAAGGATCCAAGTTCTTGAACACTACCACATCGCGCTTGAAAATCTTGTGATGAAGGTCGTGAAGATTCGTAGCGCGTGTGCGACTCTCTCTCTCAGCCTGGAACCGCATGCGTTGGGCTTCCTCGGGGCTCAGATCGGTGGGATGGCCGATGTCCTCGTCATCTGTCGAATGAAGGTCGCAAGAATGTCCGTTCAAAGGTGACATCGCAAGCCGTGGCGAGGGCAACGCGTCCGAGTCTGCCCGAGGGCGCTTCGCCTCTCCGCGGCCTTTCGCAGCATCTGCAGAGGCAGCATTGTAGGGAGCAGTGCGTAGGGGCACCCGAGCAGCAAGCGGCTGAGCAGCGGTGGTTGAGCAGGTCTGCCATCAGCTTCTGCTCTGAGATACAATTACGTGTGAATGCACACACCTTCTTCTCCCCGTACACGCGCTCGATATGTGGCGTTTCGAACCACATCAAGAACGCAAA